TCATGCTTTGGGGTGTTTTTCTGCACATGGGATAGAGCAACTGCACTGAACTAAGGAGAGGATGACCGGGGCCATGTATTGTGAGATTTTGGGGAACAACCTCTTTCCCTCAGTTAGAGCATTGAAGATGGGTCGAGGCTGGGTCTTCCAACATGACAATGACCCGAAGCACACAGCCAAGATAATCAAGGAGTGGCTCAGGAAGCATATCAAGGCTCTGGCATGGCTTAGCTCAGCAACAGCCCAGAAACTTGACTGATCCAGAGAAGATCTGTATGGATGAATGAGCCAAAATCCCCCCCCTGCAGTGTGTGCAAACCTGTTGACAAACTACAGGAAATGTTTGACCTTTGTAACTGCAAACAAGGTCTACCTTACCAAATAATAACATTGATTTTCTCAGGTGTTGAAATTCTTATTTGCAGCTGTATCATACAAGTACATAGTTAAAAAAAAATCATACATTGTGATTTCTGTATTTATTTATTTTTTAGATTATATCTCTCACAGTGGACATGCACCTACGATGACAATTTCAGACCCCTCCATGATTTCTAAGTGGGGGAACGTGCAAAATAGCAGGGAGTTCAAATACTTCTTTTCCTCACTGTATATAGGGAATATTTTCAGCAAATGCTTAAAGTTTATTTAGAAGCATTAAATACATAGAAATTAACTAAATGTGTGCATTACATGAGAACCAATATATTTTAACAACACACTGTTATTGTCTTGTGTGGGATGGCCTTCGTTGTCCACCAGAAAGTTGGAACATTTGTATATTTTTATTTGAAAAGGCCATCCTTGGACTACTGTGCTCCTACATCTGTAATTTAATCACACTGACTGTTACCCTTTGTGTTTAAATCTGTTGTTACTCTATGTTCCATTGAAATGAACCGAACTGGGAAAAGGGGGTTTATTTACTTTGATTCATCTACATGAAACATTCTACAGAAACACTGGAAATAAAAACCATTTATTATACTGTACAATTTTAAGATGATACTGAGAACATTTGAAATTGCCTCCCTAAATGAAAAGCTCAGCAAAGCTCTCAGACAGTAAGACATTTACATTAAACATGGAGTGTTTGGGTTTAGGTCTGTCTGAGTTTATCAAATAAGTTTTTCACTGTTAACATTGTTATTATGTGTTGTATGAAAGGGATGGAGAGTGTAATGAAGGGCTGACAGATTTGGTGTGGAAATGTACCATGTATTAAAGGAAATCTAGCAGAATATTGTAGTGTTGGTTGATACAGAGCTCATATTAAACATTTATATCATACATTGCACCTCTTGCCTCCATCAGTAGTTTTGATTGACTGTTTACTGATCAAATGATTTTTTCTTTTTACTTCCGTAACAGTGCAACCACATCATTTTCTGCTCTTGTAAATTCATTCCCCACTGCTTGGATTCTACTGGTCTTTTAATTCTGCTCAGCTCGAAGTCTGCAGAACTTGGATCTCTCAACTCGTAACTTTTCTTTTTTGGTCTTCAATGTAATTTCTACGAATGAATACCTTCTGACAAGTGTTTCTGATAACTCAATTGGTGTGATTGAGATGGATTTGTTGTTTCTATATCAGTATTGGCTATCTGTGAGAAAATTTTGCTTTTCAATGAACTTATCTAACCATACTGCAGATACTCTTTTAAGATTCTTTTTAAAACTGTGTTTTAAAGAAAAATAGTATATAATAAGTTATATAAATGCCTTTTCCTTTGCCTTAAATGTTGACATTACTTTAATAATTTTAATTGGAGTAGAGTAGAGGAGGGTAAATCTGGTACAATGAAAACCATGTCTAATTTTCTTTCACCTGGTTCACTTACACAGATAATTTTAAACCAGTCGTCCTAAACTCAAATCAAGGGCTGTTTTCCTTGTGTCCTTTGCCCTACACACCTAAAGCAAATTGCTATACTACCTCACCAGCATGCAGTCAGGCTATGGAGAGCTCTGCTGGTGAGCTCATATTGGAGTTAGGTGTGTTGAGACACAGATTTGTTTCAAAGTTGCAAGACACCAGTCCTAAAGGCACTGCCTCATTAGACCCTGTATTTGCTGTGCAGTTGAAAATGCATATGGTTAGAAATAATCTCTGTACAGGCTTTTTACTTTCTAGACATCCATCAATTCAGATTGACATACTGTTACTATTGAATACTGTTAGATGTTTTATTTAGGCTGTTATTTAGGCTTTAGGCTGTTGATGACAGAAGTAATTTAGCCCCATAGCAAAACCTCCTGATTTAAGACCAAGACAGTAATTTCTTGAACCCCTTTCCAGCCAAAAAAGATTTTTTAAATCCGAGAACAATTCGCTTTTAGTGGCAGTGGGAACAGCTCACTGAGCCGTGTCCGCCCGGCAAGCGAACCGGTTAAAATCCCTTTTAAACGACTCAGCTCTGATAATCATCCAGTAGGAACATTGGACCCGGGTTGACAGGCTAATATTGGTGATGCCACTGAGAGCAAGGAATGTTCTAAAACAAAACATTGCACCTGTTGCTTTTTGATCAAACAAGCCAATACAACTCTGTTTACTTTTGATCAACATGGCGCAACACTGGTATGGGGATTCTGACAGATAAGGACAGCAAAACAATACTGAACACTTACTGCGCTCTGGCTTCCTTACATGTTGCTCTCCATTGTTTACTTTCCCACTGGTGACATCATCGCTAACCCAGCAGTATTATGTCACCAGACATGCAGAGTCCAAGCAGCTTGCCAGCACGGGGTGTGTGTGGGGGACGGGGGGGTGATGTAAGGTGTTTTCCAACCCTAGGGGAATATACCTGTAAGCTTCCCCATTAGGATCTTTACCAGGATAGCCGAGAGGAGAGAGCTGAGAGTCAAACCTACTCAGCTGGAGGTTCAAGGAGTTGCCCAACTTGTCCACATGTGCTTTGTGGACCTGGGATCGTCTGATCTCTGTACAATATATCATTGATGGGCAGGATTTTAAGAAGCATGCAGCAGCCAGAAGAGAACTGGTTTGTGGACCACCAGGTTTTTCTCCTGTACTTTTAGTGAATAATGTAGTTCTACAGACTCCCTTCAGCTAAGACTTACAGCAAGAGTTGGCATGGTTTATAATTGAGTTTAAAAGTGGCCAGAATTAAGATGAGCTCCTCCAAACCCGAGTCCATATTTTTCAACTGGAAAAGGGTGGCTTGTCCCCTTCAGGTTGGAGAGGAGCTGCTGCCTCATTAGGAATAGTTCAAGTATCTTGCAGTCCTGTTAACAAGTAAGAGGAGAATGAAATGGAAGAGTGACAGAATGATCCATGCAACTGCCCCCATAATGCAGGCCGTGCACCGGGCTGTTGTGAAGACAGACCTGAGCAAAAAAGCAAAACTCTAAATTTACATGTCAATTTAGCTTCACCTGTGCTCATGAAATCTGGTCCGTAACTAAAAGAATAAGATCCTGGATACAAGCAGCTAAAATAAATTTCCTCCACACTTGAAGGGTGAGGAGCTGGGCCATCCAGTAGACGCTCAGACTACTTTAATGCAGCTGTCCAACAGCTGTGGTGCTGAACAGCACGTAGCTTTTTCTTGCTTTTCAAGTCATGTTTAAAATGTATTCTCATTGGTAAAAAAAAGTTACCGTCAGGTTCATGTTTAGGTCATGTAGCGCAGTTACATACTGTATGGACTCTGACTAAATGAACATCAGATTAAGAAGATAAAAAAAAAAAAACAAATGCATCACTATAAATCAGATGGATGTTTTCTGATGGATGTTTGTGATGCTAATTAACTAGTTAACGAAAGAAACGGGTCCATTTCTCTGAGCTGGTTCAGGGTCGGCTTTGGAGGCGCCTGTGCAGCGTCTTATCCCTCCGCCAAAACTGGCTGTCACACTGCAGCATTGATAGGGTCTAACACAGTTGCTCCTGGCTCATAAATATACATCATTCTCTCTTTATATTTGAACACACAAAAATATCCTTGTAAAAAATCAGCTGATGAGAAATATGTTATAATAATGGGTAAAGATTTTAATTAGTTGAGTTTAAAAAGCAGCATGCCTTTAGAAATAAAACTCATATATGTTTTACATTCATTGAAATACACAGCGTGTTCTATTTCAAAGCATGAAGAAAAAAGTTGATCAATATGCAATAACTCTGTGGAAGGTGTGATAAAGGGTTTGTTTAATGTAAACCCTCAATTTTTTCTGTTCGATTAGGGTCTGATTGGGGCTGAACATATATTAAATTACATTAAACCACCAAGATGCTGCTTTTTAATGTTTAGAAGCTCATCGTAGAATGGTTGGTTTTATATGCAATCATCATTGCCATTCTGACTGATCTGCGGATACATGGCCTTATATACAGCAAAGGGATCCACTTTGAATTATGACATCTTTCTATAAAAATCCCATTCAACCCTCTCAGGAAGTATAGGTACGTGATCTTTTCTTTTGGATCAGGACAGATGGGGAACCTTTGAGCCCCAAATGCAGGGTCAACACTGGTCCTTTGCTGATCTTTGCTACTGAAACCTATGAAAAACCCAGCAGAGCTGCTGTTTTTGAGATTTTATGACTTCTATCACATTCCTTTGAAGAAAAAAAGTGTTTGTATGCAGTCTGATATAGTGCACCTGTATGAAGAAAAGATCGTGAGTAACCAATTCACCTGTCAGTGATCATAATGTTTGGTCTTATCTCTGTCTACTAATAAAGCTCCTGTGTTTATTAATTGGTCTGCCATAGCAAGGTTATCAGCTCCCTTAAAAATGCTGTCTAGATCTGAGCCTGCGCATGCATTTCACAATGCTGAGTGAATGTAGAAACTTTACCGTTCTCAGAAGGTTAATAGAGTTGTGTGTGTGCGGGTCTGTGTGTGTGTTAAAGCTCCAGGCGATTGCAAAGAGAGAGTGGGAGGAGCGGAAAGTGCTCCAGTCCAATCCGGGCCGCCGGGTAAAGCCTCTCCTCTGCGCTCTCCCCTCCCTCAGCCCGCAGAAAACAGTGAAACCCTCCCATAGAGGTGAGAGCGCAGATGTCACGAGAAACGCGGCCACACGTCCAGAGCACAGCGACCGACCTCAGCCCGCCTTCCTGCGCCCCAGTCCGGGATGCTGTTTTAGCGCAGACACGCTTTGCACTCAGGGCAGCCGCTGCCGGGGGACGCTGACGCAGATCATCCACGCTCCTTTTGTCGCCGCGGTGTTATTTTGAACCAGGGATCTTTGCCACCCCACAAAAGCAAAGCAAAGCACAGCAGCCACCCTGTTTTAAGTGTTTATTTTTGGTTCTTCATGACTGCTGCTTTGGGAAGCGAGTCTCAGCACCAGCTCCAGCAGCGCCAACACGATGCGAGGTAAGACCATCATCCACGCACACACACCGCTTTATCCCAATATTTACTTATCTGTGTTATTTATCACTTTTATTTCAGACCTGCCAGAATCACATTACAATAAAAAAGTTTATTTTCTGCATGTTTGTTGCGGAACACGGGTTGACTTCTAAATCCACTTGGATCAATTGTTGCAAAATTAAAAGTGGCAGGATTCGGTCCGGACACAGTCAGAAACACAAAGTAGTTGACACTTATTTTAACGGGTCTATTGTCGGGTGATCAGCTTTATTGAACGGTGTTGTGGGTTATAGGAAACTTTTTATGCGCTCCACTAACCCATTTCCTCTCAAACGCTGAACTTTAACGTTAAAGTCGTCCTGAGCGCACACAAATGCGCACAAATTTACGCCCTGCGTTTTACGCATAGATAACGCACTGACCCACGGGTTATCCCAGTCTATAAACCATTTCTTGCAGGGAAATTAAGTTCAAATCGGAATATTCAAGTTTTATTTGAATATCTGCATGCAGGTTATTATCATTTCAAGTCTAATAACATCTTATCTTTAATACTTTAATTTTTTGTTTTGGATCTCACTTTTTTTTCTTAACTTTGTGCATTTAATTATTATTCAGATTACCACATTCTCTGATTATGCATGATAGAGATTTTTAATCTAGTCTTTAAATCAGACTGATTTAACTGGTTAAACCCCCTCGTGGGGCCACAGGCCAAATATGTTTGAGAACATATTGAAAATATATCTGAATGCTTTGATGTTTGTGTATTGAATTCATCGAAAATATTCGTATCCACCTGCAAACATCCTATTAAACTGAATCTGAATTTTCTTTAAACACATCTTTTTTAAAAAGAATTACCTATTCGAGGGAAACCACAAAGAAATTGGACTTTAAACAATATGTTAGTTATTTTAGTCATACATGTGAGAGCATATTATTCAGAGAAATACCAGGTGAAAATTATAAATGCAAAAATGATATTATGATATTGGGTATTAAAATAAATGTACCGATATGGCATTTCCTTGTCGATACCAATATCCTATCCTCTTTTCAGCCTTATCTGCTTTTTTCATTTTCTTCTTCAGGATACTAATTTTAAAACCAAACACTAAACAGAAATGTATAGATTATTCCCCTTTATGTCCCACATATCTCTTAGACTTAGACAGATTTATTTTTGTCATTTTGTATACACAAGAGTAAACAAAAAGAAATTTCGTTTAACACTGCTCTAGACAATTTGATTTTTTAAAGTGCAGCCTTGAAACAGTAATAAATAGCCCTACACATCCCTATACATATCCCAAACTTGTATCTGATTTTTATTAAACTTTAAAAAAGTGACTCAAGTACCGACTCGTGTTTATTGGATAAAAATAGTGACTTTTTTAAAGTTTTGGTTGTGTAAGTGCTATAAAGTTTGATGGTTTGGAGCTTTTGACGTGCTCATACCTGAAAAGAGCCAATTAGGTGAACATTGAACAAGATCTGAGATTGACTGATTGCTGGATAATCATTAGGGAAGGGAAAAGTTGTAATATTTATGAAAATAAGAAAAATAAACAAAGAAATTTTAAATATTTTGATTTAGTTTTCAGTTCAAACAGCAGCTTCAAATGCAAATAAAAGTCTCTTTATCCCTCTTAATGTCTTCTGAGGTGATGTGCTGCAGTAGCTTCAGGCTGTCAAACCTTGGGCCACTAAAACCACGAGAAGGCCCCCCACCTCTCGCTGTAATCCCAGGCAAACTCCTCTCATCCACCTTGTATTTTGTCCATGTTCTAATGGGTCTTGCGTCCACTCTCGTGCACAGAGGCTTTTTGGGATGGAGGGGGGGGGGGCATACCAAAAGCTCCTGCTTTCACTTTATAGCCGTGCTCGACAAGAGGCCCCTGAAGCGTCTCCCTCTCCCCTCTTCACCATGGCCCCTCCCTCCTACCTCCTCTCTCTCTCCATCTTCCTCTCTCCCTCTGCACGCCCCAAAGGGTTTTGTCAGATAGAATTAAATCAGTGTGGGTTGCGCGGCCCCCGCTTCCAACCTGTGTCTGTGTGTGTGTGTGTGTGTGTGTGAAGGCTGAGCTGCCCTTACACAGAAATTTGCTCACAACCAAGGTTATGAAAAATAGAGGCCTCTCATGAGCCGTGGTAATTAACATTTAACAAAAGCTACAACTCCTGAAGCCCCGAACGAAGATGATGTCACCACAACGCCCGGCGTGGAGCAGCCAGGAAAAATAACTGACACAATATTGTCGGAAAAACACAATCAGCATCTAAGGACGTTTGTTCTTGTAAGAAGGGTCAGCACTGAGTACGCCAAATAACTGTGTGGATGTCGATGTACGATGCGTTAGTGACGTTATTGGAAATCATTTCGATGCCAACCAGGCTGGACTTCAAGTTTTTATTAAAGGTCAAAACCACAATATTTATGATTTAATCACTGAACTATAACTCAGTTCTAAATGTATAAGATTATGTAATAGGTTTTTAATCTGAGAGTCATTTATTACCAGCTAAAATCAATATTTATAACAAGGCCTGAATAAAGATTTTATCTGAGGTTTGAATGAAACAGAGTTGATTATTTACATTTAGTGTCAAAGGAGGAATAAAAAATCGTCAGAGTGAAGCTTAAACATAAGAACCAGATATCTTTGTCTTACTGTGAGTCTTTCAGTTTTAGCCTATGAGATCTCCTCCTTAGATGCTTTGGGGGTCAAATAAGTTTAGCCACAGTTGGAGCAACAGGGAAGGGGGGGCACTGTCATTTAATCTCTAGGGGTAATAACTTGTATATCACAGCCTTTACTACATTTTCACAGTTACAGAGGTCTGAGAAGCATTAGACGATGCATAAAAGTGGAAATGATGTATCTCAGAGAACACAAAAACTGCACTCAGACACAAAAAAGCTGCTGCACTACGCATGACGGCCTCATGCCAATAGAATTAGTCCCATCCTGCTTTACGTTGGAGGCTTGTGCGACTATCGATTTGTCCAGCTCCAGAGCAACCCTGCTGATCAATTTTTAGTCAAAGCCATCGGAAACAGTCTGTCCGGATGGATCTTTGGAACATAAACCTAAAAGGCCTTTGTTTATATTTAATGTAAAATGGGAGCATTTTGGGCAAAAACAGGTTACGCATTTACTGCTGTGAGCAAACCAATGATTAGAAATATAAAAAAAAGTGATGTAGGCCTGTTTTAAAACAAAGAGAAAGTGTCTAAATATGGCTGCAGGATGACTGGGCTAATAAAATACCCCAGCTAAGTCTGGCTTTTTGTTTATTCTCCATGTGCCAGGTACCTATGGCCCTCAAAGTTTAAACACCGATATTTTTAAAAACCAAAGACGGCTAAGTGTAAATAGCCATAAAACTAGATGTCAATGGAAGTCCAGTGTTTCGAGGGAAAAGTCCTTACTCTATATAAGTTACAATTGCATTTGCATTAGTAGAGGAGAAATATTTAGGCATTTTCATACTGATAATCTGTTTTCTTTGTGTCTGAGATTTGATCTTTTCTTTCATCTTAAGAAAAATAAAACATAAAAAAATGCAGAAGTTTATTTGATAGAGGAAAGAAAGGAAATTTCACTCATCCCATTTATGAGTTCAAGCCTATGTCTCTAGGGTTTACCTTATTTTCAATTTAAAATTTGGTTGTTGCATTTATACAATGTGAACAGTGAGATTTGTTTGATTTGATGCATTTAATAAATAGGGGGAAAAATCTGAGTTTTCAGCATTGCCATTGTCAATAAATGTTCCAATAATGATCTCTAGTTGATTGATTGGTGCATCTCAAATATTACTGTTATCTGTAGGTCTGCACAAAACTAAAAATTATTACATATGAACTGAAACACTTCATAGTTACTGTTAAGCCAGCAGCTTAGAGACCCGTCAGTTAGGAAACCGGTTAGCGAGTTGTTATTTTAAGCAAATTGGTGTTATCCAATGTTGCCACCAAGTCAGTTGTTGAACACAATAGTGGGTTCCTGGCCTGAGCAGCTCCTGCTGGCAGCGTTATATCGCTGTGATTCTGGTTGGCTTTCAAGCCGGGGATTTTTGTTTGTGTTGTTTATTGTTTTTTGTGCTGACTAATGGCCCAGTGTTATGTAAGAGAGGAGAGATTACCCCGAGCCCATGCAGGCCACACTGTTAATCCTTCAACTCAGCGCTACTGACTGACTGAGGTACCACCAGAGTGCTGCTCTAACATTAATTCAGGAGTAACTCCTCACTGCCTATACAATGAGCTGCAGATACAGACGCTCCAGTCCTCATCTAGCATGTTTTCAGATTCTTTTCCAAACGAGAACTTTCTACAGGTGTGGCCTTGATGGGGGGGTCCCGCTGCTATCACAGCCTGTGTTTGTTTAGTACAGGCTCAGTCTGCATCCCGTGTTGGTTTTATCCCTCTGTGGCAGTCCAGAGGGTCTATGTATTATTGCTTTGCCTTTTTCTCCCTTTGCTCTATTTTCTTCTCTTCTTTAAATCTTAATACACACAAAGCGTGGGCTATACGGCACACTTTGCTTGGCGTCTCAGCTTTATCTTTGCCGGGAGGGATTTCAGCCCAAACCGCTCCTAGACGCAAAATCTGCCTTGAAATCACACAGTCCTCTGACAGCTCCTTCTGTTTTTGTCAGTTTTCATCCATAAAGGCAGCGTGTCTCAGAGGGCGCAGCGATATTCAATATTCACATTTTCCCCGAATTAGATTGAAATGAAAACTGAGAGAGGGAGTGTGTGTGTGTGTGTGTGTGTGTGTGATGGGGGGTTACAACGCTTAGCGAGCACAGAGACAAAGTGAATGATGAAGAGCGAGACAAACTTTGGCCCAAGGTCACAGAGCAAGCTACAATACACTTTACCTGTTAATTTAGCTGCTCTAATTTAAAGTAGCTCTTTTACTGTAAATAGAAACATCAGATCAATCTTAATAAGGAACCTGAATGGGAATCCCTGAGCCTTACAAGCCA